ATAAGCGTAATTTTGTAATGATTAACATCTGTGTAGGACAATACATGTAATAAAACGGTTTGAATATCAAACATATTTTTTAGTATATTGCATGTCTTCCAGACTTTTCGTTTTAAAATGTTTATACAATGAATGTTCAATTGTAAGAATATACATTGCTGAAATAAAATCAATAATAAAAATAAATGGTATTACAACAGAAAATACATTGATAAATAATATATTACTAATTACATTATATGAACTTAAAGAAGAAGTCGGTAAAATTTGAATAGTAAAGTAATAATGTAATTTAAATCCTAAATAAATATAATGTAAAATATAGTCATTATCTTTGAAAAGCAGAAATTTGGAACTTTTATTAGAAAAGAAAGTAGGAAAATTTTCCGTGATTGCAGATAGCGTCTTTACCTCCTGTCATATTTCAAATTCAATTAAATTTTAACACCCGGTATATGATCGTCTTCGTAGCTTCGGACAGCATCGGGCCGTCATGGACGCCCGAATTTTGTTCGTGAGATAATTCTTTTTAAAAAATTTTTCTTTTACTTCCTTACAGTAAATGTGATAACGATTTTATAAAAACGCACCATAATTGCAGAAAACTGACAGTTATGTGACGCGAGTAAAAAATGATAGAAAGACAGGTGAGTCAAACATTTTTGTTTTCTGTTATATTTTCTTGTGTTTTAAATGGTTGTTTAATATCTTTCTAGTTTTCACTTAAAATTTTTCAAAAAGAGATGAATGCATTAAGAAGTAAAATTAAATGGAAAGATAATAATCATTGTTTTTAACTTCATATTGAAAGGTTACTGCGGACAACTCAATCGATACATTTCGTCCTCGAATTTCGTTTTCCTAAGTAATAACGAGTGTAGCAAACGTTTTGTTAATCATTTGAGATTTTTGTTTTGAGTTTCTAAAAGTCTTTATAATACAACAATGTGCTGATTCTCCTGTTTAAATGTGTGTGTCAGTACTTGAGAGATAACTGTAACCTTCCTTAGGTTAACCTTTCCTTTAAATACATTTTTAAAAATTTTATTTAATAAAATTGTTATTTAATTTTTATTTTATTTATATTCAT